TGCCTGGTGGGAATGCAGCTGGGCTGCAGGCTTCGTACTGTGACTGCCCCTGGGCTCCTCCAACCTTGCAGGGACTCCTAGCCTCTAGCTGTGCATTGGCTGCTCAGAGCCTGGAGGGTCTCTTTCTACCTTCTTTGCAGTGTGCTTGGGTGACACCTCCAGGGAGCTGTACCAAGGCTTGTCTATCATTCTTCCAGAAACAGCTTCCACCCACCCCTGGCTCTGCATTTCTTTTTTTTTTTTTCTTCTACTTTGCCAAAGACCCAGTCATTCTGTCCCTTGGGACCTTTACCAGCAACCTGCCTGAGAAAATCTATTGCTAGGCATGACCCAACTCAGATTATATCACTCTTTAGTCTTTTTTAAATATTTTTTAAATTATTTTTATTTTATGTGTATGAATGTATTTCCTGCATGTTGATAAGTGCACCCGTGTCGTGCAATGCCCACAGAGGACAGAAGAGGCCTCCGGATCCCCTGGAACTGGAATACGGACAGTTGTTAGTTGCCATGTGGGTGCTGGGATTCAAACCCTGGTCTTCTCCAAGAACAGTCAGTGTTCTTAACCACTGAGCCATCTCTCCAGCCCCACTCTTCCTTTTTTAAAAAAATATTTTATTCATTATATAAATGTATCTAAATGCACCCATGTCATGTAATGCTCATGGAGGTCAGAAGAGGGCATCAAATTCCCTGGAACTGAAGTTGGAATAATTGTTAGCCACCATGTGGGTACTGAGAACTGAACTTAGGTCCTCAGCGAGAGTAGCCTGTGCTTTTAACTGCTGAACTATGTCTCTAGCCCCAACATATCATTCTTTCTGAGAATATGCATCCCAGCCTTGTATCTCCAAACTGAAGACTCCTTGTTGGTCCCTGTGTTCAAAAAGGCAATGATTTGTATCCCTGACTGTGCATTAGAATCAATTTTTTTGTTTCTTTTGTGTATCACTGTGAGAGAGAGAGAGAGAGAGAGAGAGAGAGAGAGAGAGAGAGAGAAGAAAGAAAGGAAAGAAAGAAAGAGAGAGAGAGAGAGGGAGGGAGGGAAGGAAGGAAGAAAGAAAGGAAGAGAGGACTGCATGCTTTCCCATGTGTGGGCATAGGCGCATGGGTACCAAAGGGTGCATATACATGTAGAGGTCAGGGGACATCCTTTGGGTGTTATCGCCTTTCCTTCTTGTTTAAAGACAGTCTACCAGTCCTTCATGTTTAAAGACAGTCTACCATGTTTAAAGACAGTCTACCTAGACAGGCCCATGGCTTCTGCAGCTTCTCTTGTCTCTACATCCCATTACCTGCAGGAATGCCGGGATTACAGAAGGAAGCTCTAACGTGGGTTATAGGGATCCAAACTTAGGTCTCAGGCTTGTACATCAAGTGCTTTTATCCAGTTGATGCATCTCCCTAGCCCCATCCAAATACCTAGTTGCTTATTTTATTTTGTTTTATTTTTGCTTTTGTTTCAGTACAAATGCCCAAGTTCCCTCCACAGAGAGTCTGTTGGAATAGATTTGGGTAAAATGCTCTCCAGCATCTTGTATCAAATGTTACTGCCAGAAGGTCTTCATAACCTGGCTTATGAGGCCCTGGCGACTGGCTTCTCTTCCCTCCTGCCTTGATTTCACCACCCCTGCTCTCTCCTTCCAGATTCCTATTTCTCAATGTCAACTTCTGTCTGTGCCCTGGAATTTTTACTCTATGAACTGTAAACTTTGACTGGTTTCCTAAAAACTTCCCTTCACTATTGTCTACTTCCTCTATGAAACATTTCTGGGCTCCCCACAGGGAGTTATACCTCTTTCTTCTCTGCCCATCAAGGCATCTCACCCAGAACTCTGTTGCAGTTAGTTGCTGTTGTTTTCTCTCTCTCTCTCTCTCTCTCCTCATCTCATTTTTATTAGTATATACCAACTGTACACGATAATGTTTTCCATTATGAAATTTTCATTAATGTGTATAATGCATTTTGACCACATTAACCCCAATTGCTCTCTCCCGTCCCCCTTTTTCCAACTAGTCTCTCTCCTATTTTTATAACTTCAACAAAATAACTCAGTGAGGGCTGGAGAGATGGCTCAGTGGTTAAGAACACTGAGTGTTCTTGCAGAAGACCTGGGTTCAAATCCCAGCATCCACATGGCAGCTAACAACTGTTTGTAACTCCAGTTCCAGGGGATCTGATGGCCTCTTCTGTCCTCTGTGGGTATTGCATGCAGTGGTGCACTTATATACATGCAGGCAATATATGCATGCACATAAAATAAAAATAATAAATAAAAATGACTCAAATGAGTTTCATCAGGTTTGCTTACAGAGCACCAATAAGGGCCTGTTTGTGGGAACATAGGAACCTCATTAGTGTCTACACCATAGGAAAAAACATGTCTTTGCTTCCCCCAGCAACCATTAGTTTTGGGTAAACCCTCTGGGAGGGTTGTGGCCTTATGAGCTCTGCCTCTGTAGCACATATTGGCAAGCCAAATCTTGTTTACACAAGTCTTATTACAGCTGCTGTAAATTCAAGAGTACATTGGCTATGTTGCACCCAGAATCAGCCCATTACGTCCATCAAGTAGGTTGTTGGCATTTGTGTATTCTTCACTGTACTATTAATCCTTTTTTGCATGTCTCTACCATTGAGCTGTGGCTCTAGCCAGGATTCAGAAGCATGTGATATTAACATCCATACTTTCTCAGCCCCAAGACCATTTTGTACTAATAATGCTGTCCATTAGTGTTAGTTCACTTGAGTGCCTAGGTGACTGATCTGAACTGTCTGCATATACAACTGTAGTACCAGGTATAATCCCCAGAGCCATCTTAACCCTCCCCCTTTTGCAGGTGAGGAAACAGAGGCAATGAGAAGAAAGGCAATTCAGCACACAGCCAGGGACACGGAGTATCTCCTGAATGATGAATATGTGTACTGTCACAGAGGGGTCCTTGTGACCAGACCAGTCAGTATGACTATTTCCTCCAGTGTTCAGTGAGTGTTTGTGCCAGCGGGAGTCTCCACAGATGTTAGACTTTTGAGAGGAAATAACTGACCCTCTCATGACTCATTCCTAATACAGCCTCCTTAGTAAGGGAGGTCAGCACTGTCGTGTGGGCCAGAGACATCTGGGACAAAGGAACAGCAGAAGAATGAGCTTTTAATAAGCACCCTCACTGCCCTCCAAACACTCTGGGAGTTTTCTTTCTGATTTCACTTGATCCCTTTGACAATAACCTGGTACAGTTGTTTATAGATGATAAATCAGAGCTCAAAGAAGGCAGGCAACTCATGCAACTCATGTCCTGCCATGTGATAACTTAGGGGGAAAAGTTGAAGGCCAGCAAATGGTTCAGTGGACAGCTGCCACCCAGTCCCATGACCTGAGTTGTGTCTGGAACTCACATAGTGGAGAGAACCAATTCCCCCAAGTTGTCCTCTGACCTCCACACATACACTGTGGCATTCAAGCACACACACATATGTACTAAAAATTTTAAATAGTGTTTCTTTTTAAGAGAGCAAGGACAAAAAGATGTGTCCTTTCTTACTAGTGTTATATAGAGAATGTGTTGCCACATCTACCTGTGTTGCTTAGTGTAACACCTTGTTGCCCATTAGAGACACATACACACACACTTACACACACACATACACACATAGACACACATATACACACACAAACACACACATACATACATACACACACACACACACACGCACGCACACACACACACACACACACACACTAAAATGTATTAATTTTTTCATTAAAATAAATGGGAGTTCAACTAATCTGTGCTCTCACTGCAGTAGGAGGCTCTCTCTCTCTCTTGGAATGTGGTTTGCTTAGTTCAATTTAACATGCTGATATCAAAGTAGAAGGAAAGGTATCAGATACTATGGGGAGGGAGGGAAGAGAAGAAAGTGTGGTAGGGTACTGAGGGAGATGTGCTTAAAGCATATTATATACTTGCATGAAAACAGCTTTATGTAAATGTGAAGGATTGTGTAAACTGTCAATTTGACAGGATCTAGAATCCTATGGGAGATAAGCCTCTAGACACACCTTAAGGTTAGCCTCTGCGAATATCTCTGGGGGATTATCTTGATCATGTTAATTGATGTGGAAAGAACCATCTCAATGTAGGAAGGACCACTCCATGAGTAGGGTATTCTGAACTGAATAAAGTGGAGAAGGGGGTAGGCAGCAGCATACCTTCATCCCTCTCTGCGATCTGATTGTGGTTGCACTGTGACAGCTGTTTCAAGCTCCTACTGCCTTTATTTTCCTGCCATGATAGATTGTACCCTTGGATTGTGAGCTGAAATAAGTCCGAGGTCCCTTGAGTTGATTTTGTCACCGTATTTTATCACAGCACAGGAAAAGAAACTAAGACAGTAACCCTGTATAATTAATTAAGTAAATAAATAATTAAATAGGCTCAGTGGTAGAGAGATTGCCTGGGTTGTTTTGAGCCCTGGCTTTCTTTCTAAAATTTTAATTTTACTTACATATTCCTCAGTGTTTTACTTACATATTCTTCAGTGTTCCACATCTGTACAGTTCCCACAGAGGCCAGAAGAGGGTGTTGAGTCCCTTAGAACTGGAGTCATAGATGGCTGTTAGCTTCCATGGCCATGTGGATGCTGGGAATCCCAGTTGGGTCCTCTGACACAGCACCCAGTGCTCTACAGACCTGAACCATCTTTCCAGTTCTGGAAACTGGTTTTGATTATTGGCACCATTGGTTTAAAAGAACAAACAAACAATTGCAAAAGTTTTTACTAACAACAGGATGGATAAAAACTGTTTGTAGAAAACTGGACTAAAATAACCTATATTCCTCTCACCCAAGAATAAAATCGTTGGTATCATTTTACAGGTTTTCATTCAAAATTTTTATTATTTCTCTGCAATCATTCACTATCATACCAATTAATATATAACACGCTTTTTGACATAAACACGAAATGTTTTGTTTTGCCCTTCCTGTCTCTTTTGTAGGCAGTGACTTGAATGATGGCTTGTGGCATTCTGTCAGCATCAACGCCAGGAGGACACGTATCACTCTCACACTGGATAACGAGGCTGCTTCCCCGGCTCCAGACACCTCCAGACTGCAGATTTATTCTGGAAATAGCTACTACTTTGGAGGTAAATTCTCCCGCCCTTTGAGAATGCAAGCAGATAGGAGATGGAAGAGGCATGGGTGATTATTTCATCACGTGCATTTTCAATTAAACTATTTTCTCCCTGCACACACACACACACACACACACACACACACACACATGTGCATGAACACATGCAGACACATTCAGGCCTAAATAGTGAGGAACAAAAATCTGTCACAGCTGTGCAAATATAAATTATCTAGGGCAGTGCTGAGGAAGGAAAGAGTTGGGGCTGTAAGAGCTGGTGCTACATAACACATCCGAAGGAGATTCTTGTAGCCATGCCAAACCCTGTGATTATATTGGAAAGGAGAAACTCAGCTGAAAACTTGGAGAAAAGGAATTCAGAGTCAGCAAGTACCTGCAGTAGGGAAGACTCAGGTAGGGAGGGACCACCAGCCTGCTCAGCCCTCTAAGTCACCTCACTGACACTGTTGCGGGTCAGCAGAGGAGTCAACACAGTTTCTGAGTTTGTGCTCTTTCCGATGTTTGGGTAATGCTGGCAACATTGACAGTGATACAAACACAAGAAGAAACTGAAGGATGAAACTTAGATAGCATCATCTCATTTTATGAATACATATATGTATATGTCAAGCCTTTAAAAGTATATTTTATTGACAGAGCCTGGGTCCACTTTTGTAGACAGTGATTGTGTCATAGAAACCATAGCTGAATGGGACCTAGTCTCAATGGCTTGAGCAAATATTGTACCTGAACATCCTATTCTGCAATGTGGAGAATAAGCTCACCTTTAGAACTGCTGGGAGAGTTAAGGAAGATCAAGCTTTTAATGTAAAGAAAGTAGACTGGGTGCAGCTTAGTGGTAAAAACTTTCTCAGCATGTAAAGGAAGTTAGTTTTAATCCCCAGTACCTCACACATACACCCACGCCTACACAGACACAGATATATAGAGACAAACCCACACGCAGAAACACAGGTACACACAGCATACAGAATGACACCTGTATATGGCAGGAATGTACAAACTGACTCACATTTTATAGCTGTGAGCCTGAGCTATAACCTGGACTGTGGTCGCCAATTCAATTTGATGAGAAAATTAAGACCAGCATTGCTTAAAAACATTCACTGCAGGTATGGAAGCTGGTTCATTGGGTAAAGGTACTTGCTGAACAAGCTTGTGGACCTGAGTTCCATCTTTGGAATTCATGGTAGAAGAAGAGGATGGACTCCACAAAGTAGTCCTCTGACCTGCGCAAGTATGGTGGCACTTGCATGCCTGCACTCCCTCTTTCAGTCACGGACAGCAGTATCTGTAATGAAATATACTCTGGGGAATGTTAAGTACAGAACCCAGAGTCTCCCACGTACTAACTATATAATCTACACCCAGCTACTGAGCTACATCTCAACCCTTGCTCTCTGAACTCTAAAATCTACAAATTGCTTCCTTCTTCCCACGTAAGGGACATTGGACAGGCACTGTATATATATTTAGTCTCCTTGGAGAAGCAAGATCAATGATGTTTGATTTTAGGGTGAAGAAGGGCCACAGTCCTTTACCCAAATCTTCACCACATTTTGCTAGGAAAAGAATGTCTTTCCAGTCTCTGTAAATGTTTTATGTATTTCCTCACTGGATTTATGGCACAGCTTCATGAGGTAGGTAATAATAATAAGCCATCTAACAGACAGGAAGACTGTTGTTTGTTGAGATAAAATAATTTATAAGTAAGAGAGATGGTAAAGCATTTGCTTGAATTCAAATCCATAGAACCTCATCAAACAAGATGAGGTAATCTGTGTATATAACCCCACTGCTTCTACAGTAAGATGGACTGCAGAGACAGGAGAAGCCCTAGAAGCCTGCAGGCCAGCCAGCCTGGTGTGTGTACTGCGAACCTTAAGAGCCCCACCTCAAATAAGGCAAAGTTTGACACTTGAAGTAGTCCTCTGAGCTCCATGTTCATGCCACAGTGCCAGTATACACACATACTCACACAAACACACACATTCAAAGATTAATACAAAAATTAATATAGTCTGTGCAGGGTCATAGAGCCTGAGAGTAGGTGGAGAAGATTCAAATCCATATCTGTGTTCACGGCAGCCCCTAGTGGAAGACATAGAATTAAAAAAAAACATCCCGGAAGAAAGTCCAGACCTCACGCACTGTACCTTTTATATCACATATATTATTTTGGCAACAGGAAAAGAATGATAATCTTGGATTAATTTATGGGCAAATTGTCTTTGAATAATTATGTTACAATAATCATCTAAATATCACAGAGGCAAAATGGCTCTCTTCTCCTAGTTGGATTGGTGCTATATTCTGGGTGGGTTTTCAGGAGAGCTGGGTTTAGAAGGCAAAGATTTATCTATGATTTGAACAGTGTTTAAACAAACATTCCACACACAGACTGTAAACTTAAGTAAGGTGAAAAATGACTTTCAGCAATAATAGTCAACTTCCATAAATTCTCTCTACAGCTTCAATTAGAAGTTGTAGCATCTCTCTTCATTTTATAGTGTGCCTGTAAGCTGTTAACCAGCTGCTGGGTTTCAGCCCAGCAGTGACTGTCTATTAGAGATGGCTGAAATAATTCCCAATTATTTATGGCTTATTGCCATGTTTTCAAGCTTGCATTCCCATATGCTCTGAACCTATTAAAGTCACTGAAATGGAGTTTGCAAGCATATCCCTGCCCTGCTCTTCACCTGTCTTGATGACCAGATTTGGCCTGGTTGCAAGCCTTATTAAAAAGACTGTTCTTTAAAAGGTGTGGTATTGACCTTTCATGTGTTCCATTACAGACCTATTACTATGTGCATTTAAACCCCAGTTCTCTTAATGTCTGGATTTGATTTGCACAGCATGTCAAAAATCCCGCTACGTTTCTATGTATACCTTCCTCAGGAACTAAGCCTGTTAATGCTTAACAATTAAACAGACAATTACTCCTTACCCACAGTATAATTTCCTTCGAAAGTGTAATTCAGAATTGAATTGTGCATTTAGATGTGTGTTTCAAGACAGAATCAAGATTCTGAAGCAGTTATAATATGTCACTACCTTAAGATGAGTGAAAGATGCCATGCAATAGAATGACAGATCATTTTCCAGTAGGAAAAATTATATATATATATATATATATATATATATATGGACAAAATTTGGGCTGAATGGATGGCTCAGGTGGTAAAATGCTTGCCAGGTGAGCATGAGAACCTGCGTTTGTATCCCCAGCACACATACAAAATACAAGCGTAGCATTGCCCACCTGAAATTCCAGTGTTGGGGAAGTAGAGAAAACGTGATCCTGGAAGCTCACTGTCTAGTCAACCTATCCAAATCAGCATGCTCCAGGTTCAGAGAAGAGATTCTGTCTTAAAAAAAATACAGTGGAGAGTGGAAACAGATCCCTAGATCTCATTGGTCAGCCAATATAACTAGCTCCTGCTGCATGAAGAGACCATGTCTCAAAATGCAATGCAGAACCAATAAAGGAAGATAGTCCAGTGTCAAACTCTGGCCTCTGCACATGCCCACATAAGTGAGTGTGTCTGCAAATACACACCACACACACACACACACCCCACACAGTCTTGGTGTCCCTCCTTCCCTGCTTCCACTTCATACACACCACACATACACACATATACACAGACATTACATACACACATACACCCCACACATACACACCCCCACACACACATACACCACACACCACACACACATACACACACCACACACACATACACACACACACACACCACACACACACCATACACACATATACATACATACACAGAGAAAGGGAGAGAAAAGATAAATGTTGTAACAATGGTATTCTCGATGACACCTTTTTCCTATAAAATGAGTGTTCCCAATTTGTACCGTTCCTGCCCTCCCCCCGAGGATGCTCAATGTACAACAAACTTGTATTCACTACTGTGAATAAATAAGCACCAACATAATTAGACCTCAAGGTCTTCCATCAATAGGTCGCCAAAGCAATGACGGATCACTTCAGTATTCTTCATCTTTTTCTCTGTCCCACAGGGTGCCCTGACAATCTCACCGATTCCCAATGCTTAAATCCCATTAAGGCTTTCCAAGGCTGCATGAGGCTCATCTTTATTGATAACCAGCCCAAGGACCTCATTTCAGTTCAGCAAGGTTCCCTGGGGAATTTTAGTGATTTACACATTGATCTGTGTAGCATCAAAGACAGGTAATTATTGTCTCTTCTCCTCTGTTCCCCCACCCCTTCCTGCTCTCACTGTTCTAAATATGAGTTTCTTTAAGCAAAATTCTAATCTGGTGACATTAGCCACATTAGACATAATTGAGTCGCCTAATGGAAAATATTTCTGAAAGGATTTCAGGCCCAGAGAAAAACGGTTTAAATTAGTTGAGTCTCTCTTCGTGTTGACTTGCAGTAAATGGGATATGCAAATTAAATCAAAATACAAATTTGTGAAAGGATTAAAATTTTATGCATAAACAACATTTGATTACTTTGAAGTTAAGAGTAAAGCAGATAGGAGGAGGAATTACTTCTCAACCATCTCGTTCTTCACCTGCAGTGGGTATTCTTTCTCCAAGGGCTACGGCTTAAGGAATTCTAGAGCAAAGGATTCCACTGTGCCCAAGAGTGTATGTCCTTACAGAGGGTGGCTGACCTTGGCTGTCAACAATCCCCACACCCACTGTGTCTTTAGGCCTCAGAGACTAGACCCTGGGCTACTGAGAATCAGTACTTTTACTCTGCACATCACAAATCTAGCAGAAAGCTCAGTTCCTATCTCCACCTCTCCTGGGATCTGGCTCCTCTTACTGGAAATTGGAACTTTCTAGATAAAGGTGGAAAATAAAAGAAAGCAGATTCTAAGAAGAATAAGGTTTGGTAAGGTGACGGAATTGTATCTTAGAAGACCATGAAAAGTCACCCTTGGCCACAATAAGAGAGTACAGAGGCCAGTAAGGCATACCACTGTGGACAGGCATGGAAACAGGAGAGAACATGACTTACAAGTGTTGTATCGACACAAGTGCTTTTGGTTTTGCATTTAAAAATCTCTGGTATTGGGAAGCGTTTTAAACTGATGGTGTATGATACTTTCATGGGCAGCATTTTCTTTCTGCTTGTTGTGTAACTGGCAGTGTGTCTTACATTCCATTGTGATAAACTACATAAGTGATAGTGTGTTTTCATGTTTGCTGTATATAACTCAAGATTGTAGGTCAGTTGCAGGTGGAGTTTAAGCATAGCTAGCTATGTGGGCCTGGACTGATGAGGAAAAGAACTGTGTCTTCCAGTAAGATTTGGCTGCGTGCTCTGGGTGAGAACTGAGAAGGAATGTGGTCAGGTTTGGCTAGTAGAAAGACTCAGACATGAGCAAGAAACAGATCAAGAGCGTTCTAGGGCAGACTTAGGGAGGTGAGTGTCCTAGACCAGGGGAGCAATGATGGGAAACAGCAGGGGCCTCTCCTGAGGAGCACAACAGCCCTGCAGAACATGGTCCCTGCATATTCTGGGAATGACCACTATCATTTGATAGAACTTTATGTTTATCTGTAAATACATTTGTGTGGCACACCACACAGATTTCCCAATTCTTCTGATATTTCCATTTGACCAGCTGGAAAAGTGGGTAATGAAATATGTGCTTTATTAAAATGAGCTAGTTTGGGGATCTCCAAGTCAAACAGATTACAGGGAAGGGCTCCTTCCTCAAGTCTATCCTGGCCAGGGAGAAGTTTCCAGCTTTACCAGACAGAATAGTATTGTATGTATTGTAGATCAATACTGAGGCACTTGTCAATTGGAGTCTCTTTGATACCTTAATTTCTAATCAAGGAAGTGCTCATTATTTTTGATTACATGAAAGTCGTTGCCATCTACCCTGCATCATTACTTTTGTGTAATTGTAGTCTCACATAATTACATTACACACAGTTGTGTTTTGGTTAATTGTATAATGAGGAATTGTGTTTCATTTAGTGGGTAAATGGTATGTTTTTCTTGATTTTCCAGATACTTTCTCTAACAGAATGGAAACCTGCGGCCAAAGCTTTGTTTGGTTTATTACTGATCAAATTTATTTTTATTTAACATTTGTGGCAGGTGGCAGGGGCAGGGGGCAGAGATTTGTAAGGCAGGTATTTCTGTTTTTTGATGTTTGTGTTTTATTATTTTTACAATAATGGTAAGTGCAATAATGAAAGTGTATATACATGTGAACTTAGGTTAACAGTAAATACAGTGAGGGGAAAAAAAAAAAAACTGTGGTATAACAGCATAAAATAAGGTGGCAATTTGTCAGGGGTCAGGGAAAGCTTCCAGCTCTGGTAAGGTTTCTGGGAAGGAAGAAAGTGAGGTGGGGGTGTCCCTCAAACTGCTGGTCAGCCAGTGTGGCTGAATCAGTGAGCTCTAGGTTCAGCGAGACAGCCACAATGTCTTATTTTTCACATGATAATCAGTCTGAACTTGATAGCTGGGAGGAGCTTGCCTGCTATAGAAAGGAGAGAAGAATCTGACTGTGGTTTCCTGCCTGTGCTGCTGACTAGAAAGACCTTGCAGACCCAAGCCCCTCCCTGTTCCTGACTTCCTCCTGCCTCCTGGGCATCCCAAACCCAGGCCTCTCTCCTTGCCTTTCCTGCCTTCCTTCTTCTCCTTCACAGTGAAATGGGACCTATCTCACACAGCTTTTCCTTCTTCACCCAACCGTACCTCTTACCTCTTAAAAGTTTAGAGTCTTTGTGGGGAAAATCCGATTTGAGAAATCCTAGACAGTCCTCATGGAAGAGTTGGAAATCTTCCAAAATCTTCAGTGACTTCTCAGTAGGTTGTATAGGTAGGTTTCCTTTGAAGAAGTACCTGGAAACTGGTAGGTCCTGCTCATTTTGGACTGTTTAGAATCAGCCTTTGTGACATGATTTTGTGGCTGGTGAGATGACTCACTGGTTAAGAGTACTTAAAGACCTGAGTTTGGATCCCAGCATCCATGTAGCAAGTTAGGCATAGTGACATGTGAGCACCTATAACATGTGAGCACCTATAACCCTAGTTCTGTTGTGGTTAGACATGGGGTATGGCCCTGGGGCTTGATGACTGCTATTCTAACTGGAAAAGAAAATTAAGAGAACAAAAAACTCACAAGCTCCAGGTTCAAGAAGAGATTCTACCTTAGAAGAATAAGCGGGAGAACAGTATCGAAGAATGCCACCAACTTCCTGCTTCTACACTTGCATATAGCTGTGTACACATGCACATACATATGTACATACATCTTCACCAGAGAGGAGAGAGAGAGAGAGAGAGAGAGAGAGAGAGAGAGAGAGAAGAACATACACCAGAAAAGAGAAATAGTTTCAATAAAAGATGGGACGATCTTAACTCTGGGACCAAGCAATTTGTATGTCAATCCATGATGAGCAAAGAGGAGAGGAGAAAGAAAAGGAGGAAACGACTGGCCAGGTCTGCAGCTGTGGCAGTGTGGAAAGCAGTGGCTCTAGGATACTCCTAAGTGTAGCAGTCCAAGGAGAAAATGGGGGAATTAGGCAGCAACTTCAGAGTGGAGTTTACCCAGGAGACTCCATTCCCTTCAGGAGTTGTTCTGACCTTGAGATCCCTGTGCTACTTCTGTCTCTTGTGAAAAAGTTGAGAGAGAGGGAGAGAGGGGGAGAGTGAGAGTGAGCAAGTAAGTGAGAGAGAGAGAGAGAGAGAGAGAGAGAGAGAGAGAGAACTTGGGTGTGTATGCAAGTACATGTGCATACATATCAGCATAGAAACCAGAAGTCAACTTCAGGTGTTGTTCCTCAGAAGCCATTCATTTTGTTTTTCCCGGGAAGAGTGTCTCACTGCCCTGGAGATTGCCAGTTGGAGTAGGGTGGCATGCCAGCCAGCTCCAGGGATCTGCCTGTCTCTGATCCCTGAGCACTAGAATTGTAAGCAACATGCCACCATTCCTAGATTTTTGATGTGAGCTCCGGGCATCAGACTCATATCATTATGGTTACACATGAAGCATGTTGCTGCCTGAGCCATCTCTGTGGCCCTCCTCTTCAGCCAAGCAGACCTGCAGCTTTATGATATTGGTACCCAACACCTTGTTCATCTGCTAAGGCTTAAAGTAGGCAAGAACTGCTATGCAAAGATCACAGGATGAATGTTTCATTTCATGCCCTCTGCAGTTCATACTCACAGAAGGACACTGAATGAGACTGGAGCATATTATTTCTGAGTTAGATAATATGCTCTAAGTGCTGTAGAAGCCCCCGGTCTTAAGGAGTACTGATATCTCCTCTTTTAACATAGCCCAAAGCCAGGAATCGATGCCAACTTTTCAAGGTTACATAGGGTTGATGTTGAGGGAAGAGCTGAATATTGCCAGTGTTCTTTCCTTGGCACAATATGCCAAACAGGTGTTGACTTGGAAATGTCATTCACTGTATCTGGGACACTAGCTATGTAACCCCATCTTCTTTTCAACCAGATAAATAACTTTGTCAAGAAATGTGCATTATATTACATTCCTTGTAAACCTTATTGCCCAATGTGATTCCATTTTAACTGTGGGATTCAAAGTGATTTTCAGGATGAGGCAGGTTCTGGAAAAAAAATGTAGGCCAGGTTCAGGGGTATCTCTTAAAACCCAATATCCTGGGGCTACAGGGAGGGCTCTGTCAGTAAAGTGCTTGTTTTGGAAGCTTGAGGACTAGAGGCTGATACTCGAAAACCCATATTAAAATCTCAGTGTGATGCTACTCACTTATAATCCTGACCCTGGAAGGGCACGGCTAGGCAGATCCTTGGGGATTGATGGCCAGCTAGGATAGCCAAATTGGGAAGTACCAGGTTCAGTGAGACTCTGTCCCAAAAATTAAGGAAACAAGTAACTGAGGAAGATACAGCAACCTCTGGCCTCCACATTCACACACATAGGAGTATGCACAAACACAAATATAAACAGGACCCAACATCCTTATGGAAGAGTTCAAGTCAATAACAGGAGTGATGGATAGACTGTGTCCAATTCTTCTTCAGAGTCTCAGCTTCCTGACTGAGAACACAATGTGACCAGGTGCCTCTGTTCCTGCCTCCATTCCTTTTCCACCATGATGGACTGTAGTCTCTTCAACCATGAGCCAACATAGCCATTTCTTTCCTGAGGTTGCTTTGGTCAGGTATTTTGTCACAGCAATGAGAAAAGTACCTTAGTTCATGGG